GGAACAGGTACCTTGAGGATGAGGGGCCGAGGCCTTCTTAGGCCGGTCACCGAAGAGTCTGCTAAGCACATATTCGACCGGCGCACCAAAGAATTCCTGGGTGTATTTCTCCCACCACTCACCAAAGGTGTCGGTGCAATGGGTTTCCGGGGTGGCTGGTCGAAGGCGGAATTTTTGGCAGCGCTCTTGGAACTCCCTCACGGCGGTTCTACACTTCTTCTCAGAGGAACGAGGTTCGCGTCCACGGCTTAGGACCGTTCGGGAGGAGAGAAGGGGGATAGGGCAGCCCTGAAGGTAGCCGAGCTGTCGGGCAAGGAAGTTCGGATGATATACTTCCCAACCTGACCGTTTCCCATCACAGCCAAGAGGGAGGTCGCGAGCAAGCACAAACGACCCCCAGGTCTGACGAAGATCGGCGTCCTCCTCCGCGCTCCATGGGGAGGTAGGCAGCCTGATGGAGGAAGGATAGTCTCGACGATGACATATTAGGAACTCGTCGTTGGAGAAGTCGTCGAGAGCGAAGAGGTACCGAAATACCTCTTCGGCTTGATGGGAGGGTGTCGGTCGAGAGGCCAGTTGAGGCCCAAGCGCCTCTGTTGGTGAGGAGATGGCAGCTTCAGCTATGGCCGGAGGAGCGAAGAAGCGAAGTATACCTGCAACCAGAGTTGGAAGACCCAGAGAGGACCATTCTGGTGTGGGTCGACCTTGTGGAGGGTCGCCGCGGCCAGGCAGCAGAAAAGTTGGGCGAGAATGTTGGAACTCAGTGCCAAGACGTGACCACTAGCCAGGGCTTCGGCTACCGGCATGTTCTCGACCAAACACTTGTTTGACTTGGTACAACAAATGTATTTGTTGTACCAGTAGAAGAGGAAGGCTTCATGCTCTCCCTCTCGCAGGTCCTCTTCTCCTCGGCCGGCGAAGTGGAGATAGAGGGTGTTGTAATTACAGAAGTTCTTGTGGAGCTTCTGAATATCTTCCTTCGACGGGATATGACCGTCACGGTTCAAGGTCTCGGAGGCCCGACGGTCGAATAGCGTTTTCAGGTCGATATTCGACGGATGCCCAGAGAGGGTCGCGTCGACAGGGATCCCGGTCACCGAAGTCCCCAGAATGGCAGTAAGATCCAGGATGGTGGGACCAATGGGACCCAGAGGAAGGACCATTGTGTTGGTGGTCGAGCACCAGAAGCACATAGCGGCTTGGAGAAGCTCCTTGTTGGGGACGATTTCCATAGACGAAAGGAGGATGGCGTCGTAGATGCCAAGGGCCTTCCATTGCTCGCCGAAGAGTCGTTCCATTCGAACGACCCAGGTTGCCCAGGATGTGGTCGTCGAGGGCCAGGAGCCCTGGGGTTTAGCCGCATCCCATCGCGACCATTCAAACCCTTGAAGCAAGGGTGTTAGGCAGTTAGGCTCCAGTGCTCCTCTGTAGAAGGCCGATGATAGTCGGCGGTATTGTAGCCTTGAAGAGAGGACCCAGGATTTGGTACTGGGTGCTCATGTCGTTTTCAAACCGGATGGTCTTGATCGAGCTCCGATCAAAAATCTTCTGATGTTGGTCACATTCCCTGGAAAGCTTGGAGATGAAGGACGCCATTATGAGAAAGAAGCATGGAGTAAAAGGGTTGTCTGGGTTGGGGATTTAAAGACAAAGACTTGGAATAGGAGAAATGCACTAGAAATCAACGGCAGAGGATTTCAGGAAGTTTGAGAGCGTAAAAGTACAAATGAGGGAATTTCGGTATTTATAGAGTTATAGGGGGAAGAGCAATCGTTCGAAATTCAAAACAAAGGGCAAAATCGACCGAAGGAATTGTTGATCATGATGAACATTTGGGAAATGCGGTTGAGAAGACCGAAGGTTAGGGTTTTGGGGGGGTATGATTGCGTGTGACGGCGAAATTAATGACGAAAGACGGTTCGACGCCCGCACGATGACAAGTGGGCTCACGGACTGAGGTAGTGGCTCGCGGATTGAGATAGTGGTCATGATGGCAAGACGGTTCAGGCTGCCGCACGCCTTAGACGTCATTATGGGGGATTGGCCATGTTAGAGGACGCCACGTGGCGAGTGGGTTAGCAGGATCAAGATCGTGCGATCGTGCTCAATAAATGCGCCTTGGAACTCGGGTATTAGGATCCTGAGTGGTAGATTCGCTTCTTCAAGGCCGAAACTCGGCCGAAGGTTTCAGGCCGAGGACCTTAGAAGCGAGGGGGCAATGTTTGGGCCCAAAATAATAGTTTGGGCCGAGGGTAGGATCACTCTCGGCCCAGGAGGCCGGGCGGCAAAAGGACCATGGATCAGTCAACCCGTGGGAGTCCAAACCTAGGGCGGTTAGGACGAATCCTAGTGCAATGGGGAGTCTCGACGGGATCGGATATCCAGGAAACTAATCCAGCTTAGCTAAGGACTAGGTTCATAGTCCTAGTAGGTGTAGGACTGGTTGAGGTGATCCGGAGAGGGAAACCTAGTCCGAGTAGGATGTAAACTCGGACTCAAGGTTCAGTACTATAAATAGGGGATGTTGTGCATCAGGAAGAGGCCCTTCAAATCAATACAAAATTGCCCTGCGCAAATTCTCACAACTTGTGATTTTTCTTTTTCCTTTTTTCGCTGACACATCTTCCGTTGGCATCAACAGCACTGTGGAAGCAACCGGTGATATCTTAAGTCGGCATAGATAGCTCTGTCACCGTAGAATCAGTCGGTCTCGCAGTATCTTCCGTTGGCATCAACAGCACTGCGGCGAGAACGATTGATTATCTATCCAAGTCTCGGTCGAGAAGGATTTCTGAATCCTTGTTGGTCGAGGTCATCTCATCAGCTTTCTCGGCGAAGTGAGGTGTTACAAGTGACTACATTCGGCACGTTGAAAGCCGAATTTGATATTGAGCTTCGTAAAAATAGTAACCTTGTCTTCAGGTTCGAGAGCCCAAAAGGCCGAGACGTGTTCCTTTCTCGGCCGCAATCGCAAGACGCAGAAGTCAGTAGCGCGACCCAACGCAACATCAACAAATTTACTCCTCGGCCGAGCTTGGCCGACGAGTTGGCACGCCCCGCATTCACCGAAGGACGTAGTTAGCTCATTAATTACTCGGCCTGCGCGCCACGTAGGCTTTGTAGTTTCTAGGGTCAACACAACCCCAACCCCAATCTTGTCCGGCGAAACCATTGGAAAATGAGTGTGTTGTAGAGCAGAACGTTTCACAGGCATGTTTGGTTCCTCTATGACAATATTTAGGGACACACTATTCAGTACCCAAAATAGGATAATACTTTGTTATTTGGGCACTGAATAGAGAGTACCCAATTTACTGATGATTTTTTCTGGCCCAATAATTTTAAAACACCTGGCATTTCAACTCTTTCAATATTTGGCTATCTCTGTAACCAAACACCTCTCTTATTCTCCATCTTCTTTCCTTGCCCAGCCCAATCCCGCTATTTCTCCGGCGACCATGGCTTCACTTTTGTTGATGCCATGGCAGATCCACCAAAGGTTCTCCGTCTGCCCAACCACCCATGTCTCTTATCCCTTGTCATCAAAATCTGTTACAGGTTGACCAATTTTTTTGTCGAAATCACTTGCTGATTGATGTTGCAGAGAATTTGGAGAAGTGGACGGGGTTCAGATGGACGGAGGAGAGATGGATAGAGTGGAGGTGTGCCGCTATGGTAGACGGTTGGAAGAGTGGGGATGACGGTTGGACAAGGGAGCGGAGATGGAGTCGACGATTGGAGGAAATAAGTTGGAGGCGGGTGGTTGGGACGAAGCAGAACGACGTGGCATGGCAAGGAAAGAAGATGGAGAAGAAGAGGAGGTGCAGTGAGTACCCAAGTATTATCGCCCAAAAAATACTGACCTAGTAAATGGCTACTAGTATTGCAACACCTGTCCATTTAATATTCATAACCAAACACCAATCCCACTTTGTACACGTAACCAAACACCCTTTTCAGTTTTCTCTTAGCCGTGTCGTTGCAAACCTGATCAGCCTCGCCTTTTTCCATGTCAATCGAAACAAAACCTTCCATAGAACCATTCCATAATTCGCTGCCACCTTCCTCCGCCGCTGCCATGGCTGCCACGAGAAAGAAGGGGACATATTGGGGCCGGAGTCGATGGTAGAGACGGGGTGGGAACGATGGAGGGGCGGGGTTGGGTCGACGGAGGAGACAGGGTGGTGGGAACAACAGAGGCAAGGGTTGAAGGAAGAGAGGGATTGACTAGGACTTCCAAGAAGAAAGAAGATGGGGCTTGGTTATCCACATAGCAAGAGACAGATGTTACAATATTATTGGTCCATGAGTATTTTGTTACTAGTTAGTCAGTACCCAAGTATTATCCTTCATGGAATTACAAGAATTACACGTGTCTTAATTTTACTAGTCCATGTAAGTGTGCAGTAATATTTGGGTATTGATTGGGGACAAAAATTGTCTGCCCTCGTTTCCATGTCCTTCGTGCCCTCCTATTTGTGTGGTCAAGGTTAAGTCACGTCAACATTTTATATTACTATTTATTTTTATTTTATTATCTCTATAAAAAAACAATATAAAATGTTGACGTAGCTTAAACGTGACCACGCAAAACAGAAAGGCACGAGAACAAGGAGGGTAGACAATCCTTGTCCATTGATTGGTGGTGACACCCGAGTATTGTCTTAATGCTATATTTATCATATTTTTTATATTACATCTTTATCATCATTTTAGTGGACGCAAGGTCTCCAATACATGTAGACCTCATTTTATTAGAGATGTAATACACATGTAGTATAAAAAGTATGGTAAGAACAACATTTTTTTTTAAATAGAATTAACGAAAAGTTAAAAAAAAAATTAGTTTTAATGAAAAATAACAAATAAATGTGTAATGAATATTACCAGAGTAAGATAAAAATATAATTTTTCGTTAAAAATGAACAGTACCGAAAGTGTTTCGTTAAAACTGTTTTTTTTTTTAATTATCAAAGTCTATATATAATCTCAGTCCGTAGTACCAATGCGTACTAATACAGATAGTCTATTGAGGCAAATAATAGTAAGTTATGGCGTTAAAAGTCCTTTCTGCTCTTGACACGGCGAAGACGCAGTGGTACCACTTCAAGGCCATCATCGTCGCCGGCATGGGCCTCTTCACTGACGCCTACGACCTGTTCTGCATCCCTCCCATCTTGCGACTCCTCGGCCGCGTCTACTACCAGAAAGACCGAATCTTCCGAGACAATAGGTTCGACAACAACGACAATAACTTCTTCGTTCGCATTGATGTGGCTACGGCGCTCTTGTGCGTCTCTCTCCTGGGAACCGTCATCGGACAGCTCGTCTTCGGAAGACTAGGGGACCGAATCGGAAGGCGCCGCGTGTACGGGCTGTCCCTGATGGTGATGGTGCTCAGCGCCCTAGGATGCGGCTTCTCCGTGTGCACGTCGCCGGGCTGCGTTCTGGTGAGTCTTGGGTTCTTTAGGTTCCTACTGGGGATCGGGATCGGAGGGGACTATCCGCTCTCCGCCACCATCATGTCGGAGTTTGCCAACAAGAGGACACGCGGTTCGTTCATAGCAGCCGTGTTTTCCATGCAAGGGTTTGGGATTCTGGCTAGCTCCATCGTGACGATGACGGTGTGCGGGATCTTCGACGAAGCGTCGAATGCGAAGGGGACGGAGAAGACTCCCAGCCAAGCTGACGTCGCATGGAGGCTGATACTGATGCTGGGCGCCATTCCTGCTGCCATGACGTATTATTGGCGTATGATGATGCCTGAAACTGCCAGGTAATTCCTTTAATTACTAATTATCTTAATTTGTTTTATGATTAGTTTCGTCAACATCTGTGCGTCCCAGGTCGCTTGGTTGTATATATATGTGTGCGACCGGCAGGTTTAACATTGAAAATTTGACAAATAAATGTATGAAATTTGATTAGGAAATTTCATTTCATAAAAATTGATTAGGCCTGCGTGCATCAGCGTGTGTAAGGTTGACTCTTCATCAGTGTTCCTCTCCTTCTGTTGAATAAATTAATGGTTGAAATGTTGCAACAGCAAGCGCCTCAGGGTAGGGATTAAGACATTACTCGCCGGATCCTTTTCCTAGAGATCTTAGGGATTCCGTAATCGTGATCGTAACCGTTCATCATACATTGTGCGGTCATTTTTCGTTAGATACTATTCATATTTTATTTTAAATTTTAAATTTTGAAATGATTTCTGACTGCACAATGTACGATGAACAATCACGATCACGGACGGATCCTTTTCCATTATTGAGTTTGTTTTTCACTGATTATCAACATCAGTTTTTATTATTATTCTTTAATTCAATTGTGGTCGATGTCATTCCTTATTTATAGGTTTATTTTTCCTTAATTTTAGGATTAAATATTTTTTCCTGCTCCAAATTTGTAGTATCTCAATTCTTTTTTCCTTCTCCATCAAAAATTAATTGTGTCGATTAATCTATGTTATAGGAACTATACATCAGCATATATACTAATACTAATACGAACTTATAAATGTATGGAAAATAATTTTTTTTGAACTATTTTTATGTATGATAGGTAGATTAGTTTTTATTTATTTTCGTAAATACCTCTATCACAAATTAAATGTATTTTATCAACCTATGTTATAGATGTCATATAAATTTTCTTTTAACTATTTTCCATGAAAGTAGTTAGATTTTCATATTTGAATATTCAAATTAAAAATTGAGTAAAGATGCATAAATCAAAATTTAAGGGGCATTTAGATCTGGGCCGAAAAAATTAACATAGTTATTGGGTTAAGTCCAATATTCTCTTTTCTCTATTTTTTTTCTTTTATACTTATTTTATTTTAAAAAATATTAGAGATAAATTAAAATCTTCTAATTTCATGCAGCTTCTAATTCCGATAATACACTTAGGGGATGTTTGTTTGGCCTCACTAGTCCTCATTGGACTAGACTAGATTAAAAATTAGAGTAGTCTGTTGTTTGTTAGCTGGAGGGACTAATTTTAATGGGATTAGGGGACTCGCCCCAACTAAATCCATCGCTAAACGGTCTTAGCGAGGCACTCCGAAAACCAGCGGACTGCTAAGACCATCATTGCTCACATCCTCGTCTTGCTTGATTGTGTCCCTGTACTGCTCGACTTGGTCCTCCTCCTGCTCGATGCGTCCTTGTCCAGCTCAACTTCTCATTTGAGAACGCAAAGAAAACCCCCAGACAGCCCAACGTCGTCATTGCCCATGCATCCATTGTTCACTTTCATGTTCGTCTCTCTCTCATCTCTCTCTCTAACTTGATCATCGTCTCCATTTTTGCGTCTAATTACTTGTTTTTCGAATTGGGTTATGGGTTCTAGTTATTCTGGATTCTGGTTATTTTTCTTCTAGTTATTTTGGATTTTGGATTTTGTTATTTGTGGGATTAAAGGATGAAACTTGGAGTGGATTATGGGTTATTTTGCAATTTCCCTTTTTGGCTATGTAGGGATTCGTAGCCATAAATGGGGATTCTGGGTTTTGTTAATTGGATGAAGTTTCGTTAATGCAAAGAACCTCTGTTCCTTCCTTGCACTCCCAAGGTAAGACAAGAATTGGGAATGTAAAGGATAAGTGGCTTAGAGTCAACTGTTATATTTTCTGGAATTGTTTCTTTGTTTTCTCAATTTCGTTTCCAAGAGTTGCTTATGTTTAGCTTTGTTCCTCGATTTCTTTTTATTTTGGATCTGCTACTTTTTGTTGGATTGAAGCAAATAACTTTAATATTTTGTTATATATCATCGATATTTTTTTCTTCATTATCCTGCTTCTTAGTCCGATACTGCACCAAACGCTTTACTAAGCTAGTCAAACTTAGTCTAGTCTAAGCCAGTCAAACTTAGTCCATACAGCTAGTCCAGTTCGGTGCAACAAACGCACCCTTAATCTATCAAAGAATGAAGCGCTAGAGACAAGCGGCACTCGCTTCAATAAGGTCAAGGAGCAAAAACCACTCAATTCTTTGTGAAATTAAGGAGAGCAGCCATCCCTTTATTATTATATTAATTATTAGGGGTTAGGTTAATTATATCTTCTAAAAAAATTAATATATTAAGACAAATCCATCTACAGAACATACAATCCTAACTCAAGTAACAAATATATGAATGTATATTATGCTTATAAGCGAAATATGAAACATAACTAAAAGGTACAAAAACATAATACACCTACAAGCAAGACACTAATACGATAAAAGTCGATTATGAAAAAGAATATGTTATATACGTAGATAAATACACTTAATATGTGATATATATTGATTATAAAAATAAAAAATAAAATCTATAAGTGAGGTTTAAAGCAGGAAGAAGAACAAGAAATAACAAAACAAAACAACAACAACAAAACAAGAATAAATAATTAAAGAGATAATTAGAAAAAAATTAATTTTTATAATAAATTTTATCATGAAAAGATAATTATTTATAATAAAATAATCCTAAACTTAAGGGATTGAACTTATTTTTAATAAATCGGACTATTCCTTATATTGATTCGAAAAATTAGACTTATATTAAATTTTTCTAAAATTTAATTAAATTAAAAAATAGAAAAATTGGACTAAATCTAACAATGGCTCAAATTTTTTGATGTGAATCAAAGTACCCCTTAGCTTATTTATCTGTACACAATTATTTTTAACGACTAGAGTCTAATTTTGTATTAGATTATTTTACAGATTTTTTGTTTCATTATTTATGATACAAACTGTTGGTGTGTAACGCTGTAAGCCCAAAACGATGTCCATTTGCATGTCAAAGTTTTGTACTTGGGAAATGTTATAAATCAGCCCATACCATACAAATGAAATGAAAAAAAAATATTTCAAAGTGATATAAATGAGGATAATACTTGTAATTTTTTCCTTTGTGGGGTGAGCTCATTCTTCTTATGAATATTGTATCTTAACCGTATAAATTTTATAATCAGAACCATTCAATTTCTTAATTTTCATTTGAAGATCATTTCTACAAAAAATCATTTCAAGTGGAGATCATTTAGTCATTCACACGTATAAAACAAATCACGGTGTAGGTATCAAGTAGCATATTCATGATAAACTGTTCATTTGTTTGAAATGTTTTGGATGACTAAACGATTCCCAATTCGAACGATTTTTGTACGAATGACCTCTAAATGCAGATTAATAAATTGAACGGTTCCAATCATTGAATTTATTCGATCAAGATACGTTATTTGAAAATCGAAAGATATGTGCATCCCCGAGAAAGAAAAGTTAAGGGCTCAAATTAAAATGATTGCAATGTTGTAAGAGAGAATTCAAAACTAAATCCTTGTAGGTAGTTGGAAATTAATTCTGTGCGAGTGTGATGGTAAAATCCCAATGTCTATTAACTTCGAAGATTTCTATCACAAAATGATCGCGCATAGCGCTAGTAGGCACAAGTGTATTAAAACATGAATAGTCTTAATTACTTAATCAAGTTGACTATAACAAAATTCATAATATACATGAGTAATGTTATTCATACCATGTTTTTATACCACATTTCTATACCACCTTAGGTGGCATCTAATAGGGACAACCACATTGTTTGAAAAATTTGCAAAACCCAAGAAAATGAAGGTTAATTAACTATTTTTTCTTAATTTTTAGTTTATTAAATAATGAACTAAATTAAAAAATCTGATTAATTCAAATGATGTGGCTATGGCATTTGATGTGGAAAGCCACATCATTTGAATCAATCAGATTTTTAAATTTAGTTTATTATTTAATAAACTAATAATTAAGAAAAACTAGTTAAGTAAATGATGATTGTGGTATACGAGGAGTCTTTCTCCTTCCTTTTCTTGGGTTTTGCAAATTTTTCAAATGATGTGGCTATCCACATCAGATGCCACATAAGGTGGTATAGAAATGTGATATAAAAACATGGTATGAATAACATTACTCATTTAGATATGTAAATGTAATATTGAGTTTGAGATGGTAACACCATATATATGAAAGTGTAAAAGGGATGACATGGAAGCATGCATGCATGCCTCCGTTTTCTTGTAACTATGTAAGGTTGAATCCCTTATTATTACTTTGTTTGATGATCAGATATACAGCACTGGTTGAGCTAAATGTCCTCCAAGCGGCAAAGGACATGGAGAAAGTGTTGGATGTCTCAATGAGTCAAATTGTAGAAGATGAATCATTGCCATTGCCACAAGATCCACCATCCTATCCCCTTCTCTCCAAGCAATTTTTACGTCTCCACGGCCGCGATCTCTTCGGTTGTTCTGCTTCATGGTTTCTTGTCGATGTTGTCTTCTACAGCAGCAACCTTTTCCAATCTCAAGTATATGGAAAATTCCTCCCGAAAAAATACAAAGCCAACGCCTATCAAGATGCTCTATTTGTTGCACTGCTGCAAGCCATAGTTGCAATGTGCTCAACAATTCCAGGCTACTGGTTCACTGTCTACTTCATCGATCGAATTGGAAGACGCAAAATCCAAATGATGGGTTTTCTTGTCATGGCATTGGTTTATTTCGCGCTAGGGATACCCTACAAGTTTTATTGGGTAAAGCATGTCAATGCAGGCTTCATGGTCCTCTACGGCCTCACTTTCTTCTTCGCAAATTTTGGACCAAACACCACTACTTTTATAGTGCCTGCTGAACTTTTTCCGGCAAGATTCAGATCGACTTGTCATGGGATATCAGGGGCTGCTGGGAAGGTAGGGGCCATTGTTGGAGTTATAGGGTTTGCGTTTGTCTCACATGGTAAAACAGAGGAGCATCCGAAAGCGGTAGAGATGACGGTCTCATTGGTAATTTTGGGCGGAGTTTGCATTTTGGGAATGGTGGTAACGTATTTTTTCACACCCGAAACCAATGGCAAATCACTAGAAGAGAATGAGGAATATGATGAAGAGTAACTGCTGCCGCTTAAGAATTATAATGCTACTCGGCCCATTTATTTGTATGATCATTTGTAACATCTTTAATAGAGTATGATCCACTACACATGCATGTTCTATCTTTACTGGAAAGATAGTACAAATGATGATACAAGTAGATGGTAAAAATAATATTTTTGGATAATTTTTCCTTCAACATGTGTTTTAATTATGTTTAGAATTATGCATATGTCTATGTCCCGTACATTAATTATATGCTCAGATTTGAGTGAGATAAAACATAAGTAGTGGATTATATATATAGCAAGACTTGTGCACACTTTGTGTTACTTATTAGTTATCATTAACTTAAGTATGAGTGGCAAATAGATGCGTGATATTGCAAGTAGCCTTTTACCACAATAGTGGAAATGTGTTGTGCCATTGTATGATTACGTGGATTTAAACTCTGTCGATAACTAATCTAACATCTAACTTACTAATACTATCGCTCAATTCAAAAAAAAAAAAAACACAAAACAAAACAAGATGCGTGATATGGTAATACGCCAATTGTTAGAGTGCACTAACAAACTCAAAATAACAGTCAAAACCAAAAGTATAACAATTTTACAAAGTTGCTGTGGTGTAGTGGTTATCATGTTAGTCTTACAAACTAAAAAAAATTATTAAATTTTTATTAACAATATAACAAAATACATCTAATTGCGCTTCAACAATTTATATACAGAATTTGAATCTGTCCACTCTTTTATCTAATTTTATATACATGATTTGAATCTGTTCACCACGACTACTATCTAATTTTATATACAGGATTTGAATTTGTCCACCACAACTATTTTATCTAATTCAAGTTCCTAATACCAGGAACTGGAATTTGGCGAACTTTCATGTGTTTTCTCTAAAAAAAAATATAATAGTGTTATAAAAAAGATGGGGTGTTTCGTTGTGTATGTTTGGAAGAAGGCTGCGTATATAAAAACATCAAGAACCCTTCCGATCAGACTTAAACAAGTGTCACTGGCAGTTGTGCCCTTTCTGTTAAAAGGATCAATCCCTTTAACCAAAGTCAATTTAAAATTTGAATTTAAATATGAAAGGCTGCTTTGATAAAAAACCAAAGGATAAAATATCAATCAAGGCCCATCTTTTTTACTATAATATTTAACTACGCCTAAACCTTAAACTTCTTCATGCGTGTAAACCAATTTACTAAGTCATATTCTCATAAGCTTATAAATTCTTGTTGAAAAAACTTCACTTCATCGACGCCGAACAAAACAAGTTGCTTTATTTTTCATTTAAACTTTCAACACTAATTTGACCTCGGAATCCCAAACAATTCGATTAGCTAGGTCATTACATTATAACAATTGCATGCAGCAAAGATTGGCTAAAGAATGACGTCATGCATATAGGCTTATGTAAGCTAGCTATGTGGGGGCGTTTATCTTTTAATTGTGGAGCACAAATCAATTATGTACGTTTATACTATACTGTCGTAATCACCCAAACCCAAACGAAACAGGCTTCATGCTTCACTTGCAGCGCCGACGCCATTGAATATTGTCCCCACCTCCCACCCTTCACAACCCCCAAATTAATTAGGTTAACCAAAGGAAAAGAGGCAAAGGACCACATTCTGATGAACAACCCCACACACATCGGAGAGAAGTCCTTTCCTCGACTCAGCTTTCGCAATGGTCTGGTAGGTCCTCATGTTTACCTAAACACACCACTATTGTTCTCAAAAAATAAAAAAATACCACTATTTAAACATATTCGGAGTAAAACTTACACACATTTGTCATTTTGTGGTGCTGGCAGAATAGGTTTCTCAAAAATTTATATCCTATAAGTTACTAAACAGTAGACATACAAGACTTCCGGCCAAGAGGAAAAAGACCAATAAACAATTTACATTGTAGGCTCAAAGCGTGATTTTTTTTTTCTCAACTGTTTTTTAATAACTAAAAGATTTATGGAGGACAATACTCGGTGCGCTTCAACTATTTTATACTATTATCAAACTCAAATTTTACTTATTTAGATACCGTCACTGCTCCCTTATTTCTATCGTTATTATTAATAAAAGTTCATTATGTGAAAGCTTTTTTGTGTGAAGTCTTTTTTTATTAAAACCTTCAACAAATATTCACATTAAAATTTTAAAATGAGTGTACAGATATAAAATATAGGCTCGAATAAAGTTTTCCAAAAGTAATGATATATCATATATGTAATCCAAGTTACACTCTAGTTGGTTGTTGATCGATAATTTAACAAAGACGAATGTACGAAAGTATATAATTAACTAGATTATGCAGCGTCTTAGCTCTGCGTTTATCCTCACAAAGGAGATCATGGTACGAAAGGATATGGAGAGCAATAGAAATAAAAATACACAAACAAAAAACGTTGATAGTTGATCCAAATACTTGTTCAACCCATGATTCATGTATTTATTTTCATTATCAGTTCAAAGTGCTTTCATAGAAGTCGTGAATCGAGTAGTAATCTTTTTGCGGATTCTGAAAAAAATGAAAAAAAATATCAAAAACCTAACCCTGTTTTTTTATTAAATAGAGCTATGTTAATCAAGTGCAATCATCCACAAACGAGCCGGGTGAAAGAAATTAATGTGGGTATAGATAACCACGATGATTCCTTTATTTAACTTGATAAAAGGATATGATAATAGCAAACTTTCGTGCAAATCTTATAAAATATTTTACAAAAAATACGAGATGACGGAGAGACTATAGAAAGTCATACTTTGGGAGAGTATCGTTAGCATTTCGCTTATGCAAATAACATAAAATTAGAGAAATTTTCTCTCAAAGTGGAACTCTCATAATTTATCGTTAATTATGTGCTAACATTATAAAATATTGTGTAAAAATATAAAATAACACAAAGTTTATAGAAAATCCCTATTTCGAAAGAGTCTACTTATTATTTCACCTAATTAAAATTATGGGTAAAAAACTGTTTAATACCCTTATGTTTCGTGGTTTTCAACATTTAGTACATCAAGTTTTTTTCGCTCAGATTCATACCTAAAGTGTAAATTTTGGGACAGTCTCATACATTTGTTAGTCAAACTGTTAAATCTGCCGTTAATTATGACGTGGTGCCCATGTGGACAATGACTGGACGCCACGTGTCATCCACGTTTTTTTTTTCTTTTCTTCTTTCTTCTTCTTCCTCCAACTGCAACTTCTTTTTTTTCTTCCTCCTTCTTCCTTCCCCTTCTTCTCCTTCTTCCTTTTTCTTCCTTTTCCTTCTCCTTCTTCTTCTTCTTCTTCTTCTTCTTCCTCCTAATTTGGGGAAGTTTTTTTTTTCTTTTTTCTTCCTTCTTCTTCTTCCTTCTTCTTCCTCTGACTACAACTTTTTTTTTTCTTCCTCCTTCTTCTCCTTCTTCCTTCTTCTTCCTCCGAATCTGGGGAAGATAAAGGTTTTTTTTTTTGTTTTGTTTGTTTTGAGGAAGATGAAGAAGAAGGAAGAAGGAAGAAGGAGAAGAAGGGGAAGGAGAAGAAGGGGAAGGAAGAAGGATGAAGGAAGGAGGAAGGAGGAAGAAGAAGAAAGAAGAAAAAAAAAGTTGCTGTCGGTGGAAGAAGAAAAAGAAAAAAAAAAACCTTCATCTTCCCCAGATTCGGAGGAAGAAGAAGGAAGAAGGAGAAGAAGGGGAAGGAAGAAGGAGGAAGGAAGGAGGAGGAAGAAAAAAATAAAAAAAGTTGCAGTCGGAGGTAAGAGGAAGAAGGAGGAAGATGAAGAAAGAAAAAAAAAAAAAAAAAAAAAAAACTGAATCTGCAACCCAGATTCGGAGGAAGAAGAAGAGGAAGGAGAAGGAAGAAGTAGGAAGAAGAAAAATAAAAAATAAAAACAAAAAATAAAAACTTCCCCAGATTCGGAGGAAGAAGAAGAAGAAGGAGAAGGAGAATGAAGGAGGAAGGAAGAAGGAGAAGGAGGAAGAAAAAAAAAAAGTTGCAGTCGGAGGAAGAAGAAGAAGGAAGAAGAAGAAAGAAGAAAAGAAAAGAAAAGAAAAGAAAAAAAACAAGGATGACACGTGGCACTTAGTCATTGTCCACATAAACGCCACGTCACAATTAACGGCATATTTAAAGTTTAACTAACGGATATATGAGACTGTCCCAAAATTTATATTTTAGGTATGAATATGAGATAAAAAAACTTGATATACTAAGGGCTGGTTTGGTATTGCTGTGCTTTGAAAAAAAGTTGCTGTGAGAATAAGCGGCTGTGAAATAAATCAGCAGAGCGTTTGGTAAACTTTTTTGTAAAAAAAGCTTTTGGAAAAAAAAGTAGTCTGATAGTGGGTCCTTTCATTAAAGGAGCACTGTAGCTCCATGTGCTTTGAAAAAAAGCCAGTTTTCCAAAGCTACAAATAGCAGCTTCAGCTTTTTCCTTTGATTTCAGCTTATTCTCACAGCAGCTTCCAAAATAAGCCCTTTTTTTTCAGTTTACCAAACACCTAAAACCCTCACAGCTTTTTTTCATAGGTGCTTTTTTTTTAAACACCTCACTCCCAAACTAGGTCTAAATGTTGAAAACCATAAAACATAAGGATAGTAAACAATCTTTTAGCCTAAAATTATATATCAATCATTGTTTAATTAAAGAAAGAGAACAATCATTACTTAATATAGTTAATCTTATATTATCTGTTTCTGTTAAAAATTAACATGTATGGCACAAATGATGATATATGTATGTCGTCACTGTTGAATGTTAATATAGGCTAGGGCATGGACCGTAGACTAGCTAGTGTACCTACTGCCTAGATAGCTGTTAAAGAAAGATATACTCACACGCACGCATGAATCTCTGCAAACAGCTTTTGCATTTACTCCTACGAGTCCTCCTCTCTCATCACATTCACTCATCATCTACACTCATCGCAACAATCTCTATTGCTTTTTACATTTTGGAGTCGTTTTCCTTGATGATCCATTCGCTATATATATACGTTATTTTTCGGTTTTAGTGCACCTCCCCCTCCTATCCAAATCCCAGACTCTTCTGCTTTATATAGGCATTGCAACGATCACTTTACCTTCATCACAGTAAAGAGTTGAGAACATCCAGAGCAGTCTGTTGCTTTAGTTAAACAGTATTATATTTGGTTTGGAAAATATATTTAGCTTATATAATGTTGGGAATCGGAATGGAAGAAATTATGAGTGAGCTGATGAGTGGGGAGGATGAAAACGGACAAGGTTTTCAACCAGGGTTCCGGTTCCATCCGACGGACGAGGAGCTCATAACCTTTTATCTGG